AGGAGGCTGAGGCAGGAGAATTGCTTGACCCCGGGAGGTGGAGGTTGCAGTGAGTGGAGATCGCACCACTGCATTCCAGCCTGAGTGACAAAGTGAGACTTGTCTTAAAACAAACAAACAAACAAACAAAAAAACCCAAAAACTTAATATTTCAAATCAAGGAGAAAAATCAAAGCTAATTCCTTACATTTTGAGGAATTCTTTCACACAACTGTATCACAAAGTTACTGATTAAAACTGTTTTAAAGTAATGTTTATACAATATTAAATAACTGGTGATAAGATCACTTTAGATCAAATGGAAGATCAATAACCACCAATACACTTAGCTTCATAGTAGCCAAATTTTCTATAGTCAAGCAATGATAAATTTTCGTGTTTGGTAAATAATAGCTCTTATGGAATTCCACTTGAAATGGGAATTAAAAATTTAGTCAATTCCATTTGTATTTTACTGTTGCAGTATTCTATTCTCTTACTGTAAAAAAAAAAAGAAAAAAAAAGATGAGTGCTAGCCTGCTTTTGGCACTGAATAGCTATAAGCAACTGATCCTAATGGTTTTAAGTTTGAACATTTGGCAGGACTAGTTGATAAACGGATACTTTCCCTCTCAGTTTTTCCCTTCTGCGACCTAGATGGTTTTTTAACCTTCTATTTCTCTTTTATAAAAATCTACATTTTGACAAACCTTTCCAGATCTAGCCACTGTATAAATTTATACATGAAAAGAGGCAATGAGTTTTTGAAGGTTTTCTTTGCCAACATTACAGCAACAATGTCTCTGTGAAGCTATTAACAACAACACTGCAAATATAAATTCAGATACATGTAGTCTCTGACCTACAGGTGGCTACTTTACTTTCAACACATACATACAGATACAGAGTTTGCAGTCACTACCACAGGTTCATCTCCACTCTTCCTTCTGTCATATCTGAGATCCAGGGTCTTTGACCATGAAAACCATTACAGAAAAAAACAGGAACTTCTGAATTTTAGCAAATTAAAAGCAAGCATATCTCAATGGAGCTGCATAGGGTAGGTAGGTGGCTACAATAGGAAGATCAGGACAATGTGGCGAGAAAGGAAAAATGGATGTGGGATGGGAATACACGAAGGAAGGAGAATATTAAAAAATTATTCTATGTTGGGAACGGTGGTTCATTGCCTGTAATCCCAGCACTCCGGTAGGTTGAGGCAGGTGGATCACCTGAGCTCAGGAGTTTAAGACCTGCCTGGGAAACATGGCAAAACCACTTCTACACAAAAAAATTAGCTTGGCATGCTGGCCTGTGCCTGCAGTCCCAGCTACTTGGGAGGCTGAGTTGGGAGGATTGCTTGACCCCTGGGGGTTGAGGCTGCAGTGAGCCATGATCATGCCACTGTACTGCAGCCTGGGCAACAGCAAAATCATGTCTCAAAAACAAACAAAAAAACCCCAAAGTTTTTCTAGCCAGCTGTAATTTTTATATGGAGTCAGGCCTATGACCAAAAGGATGAGCAGAAAATGTCCTTTTCTTACCACAGTATAAGTAACAAAAAGAAAAAAAAAAGTAAGAAATTAAAATTATTGCTGGCTAGCTCAGAAACCTAGCCACCAGTCTTAATAGTTTTTATAAGAAAATAGATTACAAGTTTCCAATGCACTCAACCAACATATAAATGCAGTGAATTAGGCTGACATGATCCCATCTCCTATGTCCAGTGGGAAAATAAATAAAAACTAGTAAACAAGCAAATAAAAAAATTACACACTGATAGGCACAATGAGGAAAACAAGTGCCAAGATAGAAAATAGCTGGGGGTACACATTTTAAATAGGGTGAAGTCTTCAAGTAGCTTTTATACCAAGCTCAGAGGAAAAGAAGGAGCCAGACATTTTAGGAGAGCAGGAGGAAGAATAATCCAAGAAAATGGAACACACCCTGAGATTACAGTAAAGAGTTTGTCTTGCTCAGGTACAAGAGAGATCACCACAGATGGACAGGAGTAAACCAGATGGAAGAATGAGATAAAATGAAGTTTGGAGAATTAATGCAGAGTTGTGATTTTACTTGGATGTAATGGAAAGCAACCAATGTGCTTATAAATAAATCTGTAACTTTAGAACACAGCCAAAATTATTTGTTCACTGAGGATATGTTTTCATATATCATAATAGCACAAGTGAATATCTTAAACTGTATAAAATTCCCATCAGCTGTAACGCTGTAAGTCAGTTCATAATAATACTGTCACAGTCCTATAGCTATTATAGCCTTTTCACTTGTAATCAGTAACTCCCCTCTCTGTTAAAATCTGGCTCCAGTGCTCTGCTCCCTTTAAAGCACTCATCACACTTTGAACTATTTTTGTTTGATTTTTTTTTTTTTTTGGTCTTTCTCCCACACTTCTGTGTACTCCACAAGTGCATGGGCCAAGCCTGTCTTGTTAACATTCTTTTCCCACAAGCTCATACCATACTTAGCACTATGTAGATAATCAATACTTATTTTAATCTAATTTAATTTAATTTTTTTGAGACAGGATCTCGCTCTGTAGCACAGGCTGGAAGCAGTACCGTGATCTTGGCTTACTGCAACCTCCTCTTCCTGGGTTCAAGCAATTCTTGTGTCTCAGCCACAGAGTAGCTAGGATTACGGGCATGTGCCACCACACCCTACTAGTAGGTAACCAGTACTTACTGAACAATTAACAAATATTACTCGTCTAGTATTTAATAAACACTTAGTTGTTCCAGACTCTGAGGAAACAAAAAGACTGAAATATACCATTCCATACATTTAAGAAGCTCAAAAGGGGGAGGGTGGGGTTTCATAAACAGCTAAGTTATGAATGCTATCAACAAACTGTTTTAAGTCCAGAGGAGAACTAGGAAAACACATACGGTCTGACAAAGAATTTTCTTTGTGCAAGCATAAATATTTATGTGGAAAATCCAAAAAAGGTAGAAAAGTATAATCAGAGATATTTAATCAATACCTTTACTAAAAAAGTCTATCATGCACAACGGTTGCATTTATATCAGCTGAGGATAATGGCATACTGGCTACATTATTTCTGTGTGGACTTTAGCATGGGGAACCGCTGACAAGTATCACATTGAAAAAAAAAAAAACAAAAAACAAAACTCTTAACTCCTGAGCAGTGCATAAGGTAAGCTTACACAATATACAACCTGTTGTGTGAAATTCCAGAATGTCCATCCCTGCCATGTCTAAGGGTGCCAAGTTTTGATCTGCACTGATTCAGCAGTATGTTTACAGTCTTTTCACAGGTAATTGGCTAAAGAAAAATATTCATGGCAACACTAGCAGAAAGGAAGGGCAAATTATAAAGAACAAGGAAAGAAAGGAGGGAAAAAAAGGAAAAGAAAACTAATAGGATCACAGGATTAAGTTCAGCATTATTTAACAAGTGATACATAGAGCAAGTTTACAAAAACAAAAGCCTTTTCAGCAGACTCGGAAGCAAAAACAGGGCTGTGTAACACAATTTAGATCTAGCGTTTTGCTGAAGTGAAATCTTGCACTCCTTAAAAGAGGAAATAGCTTTCTTCCCCCTTAAAAAACACACACACACAACACAAACATCAGCAAAAGCTTGGCATTTTATAGATTATTTTTCTAGTCTCTTAAAAAAATAGCACAACATGACCCTCAAAAAGGACATCAGCACCTTTAGCCAGCTTAAAAAACAAATCTGCAGCCTAGAAAACAAAGAAATCGTGCAATAAAATGTAATTGGTATTAACACAAGGTAGATTTACCTAATTTATTTCTTAGAAGTGTTAGAAAGACAAGTTGCGCAGGGGGCTTTAACTAGTTTTTCTCAGCATAAAATGAATAGGCAAATAAATACTTTTAGAACCTCAATCTCGAATTTTATGTGAATGGCAATGGCTCTAATTTAGTAATGCTCTAAATGCCCTTACCAAAGTCTAACTTGTGTTATAAGTCGTTCAACTCAACATCTACGGACTGGACATATTCCTAATAGTTCGAGGAGGCAATACATCTTTATTCTTTGTCCATATACAAGACACTAACATTTGCTGAAAGACAACTATGAATTTGCCTACTATTATACTACGGATTTACTGATGAACTAAAATACTTCAAGCAAAATTATATATTTAATACTAATGATGCAAAATGGCAAAAATGACACCAAAATGCCAAGCACTGAATTGGAGAAAACAAGTTAAACACTACTAAACGTAAAGATCCCATTCATGCAGTGTTTCTGGGAATACTGGCAAACACCAGCAACTCTTCTGGTTATTTCTCCTTGCAAGACTACTGCTGAAATAAGCGCCGGCTAGCAGTCTCACAGCTTATCAATATAGGCTGAAATTTCTAGAAAAGTTGCTAACCAGAATCGAGTCCCAGCCACAAACATCAGCACCGCATTCCTAAGGAGAGGCAAACCCGGCAGAGGATGCCACACGGTGTGTGGACTTGCCAGCATTCGGGCAGGAGGGTGTGGACCTGACAGGCAAGGTCCGTTCCGCACGGGTAGCGCTCCCAGCCCTCGGCCCGCTCAGCGCTGGCCCTCCATGGTTCTTCCCACCCCTACCTTTGGCTCTCACACAACAGTCCCCCGGCTCCCGCGCCGGCGCTCCGCCACCCCAATGTCTCCACAGAGGAGCAAGGGGGCAGTCGCCCCTCGCCTCCCCACAACCCCGCGCGCGAGGCCACCCTGCGCCAGGAAGGACGGCGTTCGCCTCGCGCGAGTCCATACACAGCTATATCCTAATGACCCGCCCCAGAGCATCCAGTCCTTTCTCCACCGGCCCCTACAACGCCCTTCAAATCCTTCACGCCCAGTGACCGCGTCCCGCAGCCTTACCCTGACCCCAACAAGCGCACCCCTACAGATACCACCTCCGACTCCAGCCGACTGGATGACTGATCGGCGGCAGCACGTTCACGACACTTTCGCGATTGCCGTAAAGGGAAACAAGGTTTGAAAGAGCAGCGCCGTAAGCGCGCTCCTCGGGGCCGTGAGCGCGCCCCGGGGGCCGGCCGGTCAGATCGGGAGCGCGCCCTAAGGCCCAGCCCTGTCTCCTTCTAGCGGGCGGGCTTAGGCGCTATCGGTCAGCGCTGGTCCGTCTGGTAAGGTAAGCCGAAGTAGGGGAGAAACGACAGGCCCCAGCGCTTGGAGCCCGCTCCCTTTAGAAGGGTGCGTCAGAGGTTGGGATCTGGCAGCCTGGGGAAGTGGGCGCCGCCTGGAGCCCCCTTACCCGCGTCGCGGGCGCGCGAGACTCGTGCTGGCTCTCATTGCCTCCGGGGGCTACCTTGTGCCAGGCGCCAGAGAGGGGCTGGTTGGGGCGGGAGCTGCGGGGGTTTCCGGGGGCGGGGATGAGTGCAGCTGGGCTCAGCTCTCCGTGCCCTACCTTTCTGTCCTCTTTCTTGGTCTCCCCTACTCTCCTCCTTCCCCAAGCAGTGCCTGGTGGCGAGTTCCGTCTCTCGCGTCTTTTCCTGGTCCCAGGCAAAACGGAGCGGAGATCCTCAAACGGCCTAGTGCTTCGCGCCTCCGGAGAAAAATCAAAGGTCTATTTAATTCCTCTGGTTTGTTGAAGCAGTTACCAAGAATCTTCATCCCCTTCCCACAAAAGCTGCAGTTGAGTCCACGTTCCTGTTGTGAGTTCTGGGTTCAGATACCTTGGTGGCTGGAGGGAGTGAGGGGGAGGGGAGAGTTTGAAATTATGATCCCTGGTGACCTTGTGTTTACACGAAGCTCAGCCTTTTACACTCAATTCTATCGCAGCGGGTGGGTCCTACACAGAAAGGAAATTGCCTGTCCTGGGTATCTTCACAACCGTGTTTTATAGTAGGATACATCTGAAAAACACAGAAACACTGTAGAAATAATCTTTCCAGTTCTCCCAAATTTTAATTTATAAATCAGTAACCAAATGCAACTCTGTATTTTGCATTGCATTATCGGATTGTCCTCATTTCTCTTAATGTAACATTTGATGCAGCTTTTTAAAAAACTTAATTTTCTATACTCTTTAGGATTTAACCATTAGGAGAATATTACGTTTGTCAGGAGGCCAAGTTAGAGTTTAGAAAAGTAAGTATTTTTAAATTGTATTTTGCTTTGAGCCTGATGATTCTGTGCATCTCTAAAAGCAGCTTAAGGCTTTCTGACCGTTCACTTGGAACTTCGAGAATTTACTTAGTTCCTAGCATTCACCACTTGGCAGAGACAGCATGAGGAATTCGTTTTATTACCACGGGTATTTAAATATTTATTAAAAAAATTGTAATCACAGTTTTGATTCATGGAACTTCAAAGAAAGCAGAGAAGATAGGCTAGAGATGCAATACCTTTTTTTTTTTTTTTTTTGATGGAGTCTCGCTCTGTTGGCAGGCTGGAGTGCAGTGGCGGGACCTTGGCTCACTGCAACCTCCACCTCCCGGGTTCAAGCGATTCTCCTGCCTCAGTAGAGACGGGGTGTCACCATGTTGGCCAGGTGGTCTCAGTCTCCTGACCGCGTGATTCGCCCGCCTCAGCCTCCCAAAGTGCTGGGATTACAGGCATGAGCCACCGCGCCCAGCCTACAAGAACATTTTTATAAACATTCTTACTGCCCTGTGAAATTTATTCCTGCATACTCTCAATTATTTTGAAAGGTTTTTTTAATTATGAATCATTAAAATTCTAATTTTGTTTGGTTGACAATTACTCAGCAATGCTTTCGGGTTTCAAAGGCAAAAACACATTGACAATTAGTCTTCCTCAACTAGTCCATGCATTTAAATTCCTCAGTTGTCATTCGCAAACTGGTAAACCATTTATTTCAAGCCCTGCTTCTCTATAAATTGTCAGTTTAAACAACTAGGACTCTCAAAGCCTAAGGAGATATGAATCCAAGATAATTCATACATAGAAAAAATTCATACAGAGAAGTTGTACTCCATACCTGTGGCCTTATAACTACATAATTAATAAATCAGCTATCATTATTATATTGTGTGCTTATTCTACTCCACTCCAAGGAACAACTCTTTGAGTACTGTAACTCAGAAGCTAAGTAAATTGCCTGAAATCACAGAGTTGGGCAGTAGTAAAGGCAGGACTTGCAGTTGGAGAAATGTCGTCTCACAGCTGTGTTCTTTATATCACATGGATTTGCAATTGCTTTATTTTGTTTAATCTATCATTTTTTTCCTCATGTTGTCTCTCTATAGGAGGAGTCAATGATTTTTCTTTTATCCTCTTTAAGATAGTGAAGGTGTTGGATGTGAGAATGCATATGAAAATTGATATCCTAGAATTAAAACGTTATTTAATTCCAGATGGTACAACATCATTGTAAAAAACTCAAGTGTCAACTCTTTAAAGAAAAAGAACCTGTTAACAATGCTATAGCCTAGTATTCTGCCCGTGAACAATATGGTGTGTTAACTTAAAACTGTACGTGTTTAAAATTATTTGGATTGAGAGAAAAACTTCCTATTTTCTTTGTGGATTTTAGGACTTACAAAAGGTGCAGGTATGAGCAGATCTGAAGACTAACATTTTGTGAACTTGTAAAACAGGTAATTCATTTTTCACATTATAAGAGGAACAAGTATATACTGATCATCTCTGAAAATACATATCTTATTTAATCGTTGAATAAACCTCTATGAACTGGGTATTATTTTATACTATTTAACAGATAATATTGAAAGCTACCATTTATTATGCACCAGCAATGTGTTAGGTTCTTTGCTTGTGCTATCAGTATAAGCTGTACGAAAACTACTCAGCACAGTCCAGTAGAACTTTTCCACAATCTTGGAAATGTTCTAAATTTTTACTGTCTTGAATGGTAGCCACTAGACGTGTGGCTTTTTTTCTTTTCTTTTTTTTTTTTTTTTTTTGAGGCGGAGTCTGGCTCTGTCGCCAGGCTGGAGTGCAGTGGCATGATCTCGGCTCACTGCAACCTCTGTCTCCCAGGTTCAAGTGATTCTCCTGCCTCAGCCTCCCAAGTAGCTGGGACTACAGGTGCCTGCCACCACACCTGGCTAATTTTTTGTATTTTTAGTAGAAATGGGGTTTCACCATGTTGGCCAGGATGATGACGTGGCTTTTGAGCATATGAAATGTGGCTAGTGTGACTAAGGAATTAAAACTTTTATTTAATTTTAATCTATTGAGATGTTAATTTCAATAGTTACATGTAGCAGTGGTTGCTATATCAGCTGGTACAATCTGTGCCGATAACCTTAACGTTATTCCATTTTTCTTTTTTCGAGATGGAGTCTCAGTCTGTCGCCCAGGCTGGAGTGCAGTGGTGCAATCTCGGCTCACTGCAACCTCTGCTTCCCAGGGTCAAGTGATTCTCCTACCTCAGCCTCCATTCTCCTACTTCAGCTTCCCGCATAGCTGGAATTACAGGTGTATGCCACCATGCCTGGGTAATTTTTGTATTTTTAGTAGAGACGGGGTTTCACCATGCTGGCCAGGCTGGTCTCGAACTCCTGACCTCATGATCTGCCCACCTCAGCCTCCTAAAGTGCGGGATTACAGGTGTGAGCCACCGCACCCTGCCTCACATTATTCCATTTTTCAAAGGAGAAACTGGTTCAGACAAGTTATGAAACCTGCTTAAGTTCACACAATTTTATTTAAAAAAACAGTTTTGAGGAGAGGAATACTTTAGGAGTGTTAATTCGGTAATGCAAGTGGAATGGGTGAAGGGGAAGGAAAAAGCACATAGGGCAAGAGAATTGAAAGTCAGAATCACATAGGTACAGTGTGAACTGAGAAGAAGAATGGTTTAAATGACTTGTAGAAATACAATTGCCCTCACTTGGTGACAGCATGTGAGGACTTTATAAGAGAGACCTTAAGATTCCTCTGAAGTCTTAGAATTGTCATAACCTGAAAAAAATGGTAATGTTGTTTACTGAAATAGAAAAATCATAAACAGTTTTGGGAATTAAAAGGATTTTGCTTTGGCTGTTCATTCAACACATAATTGAATGATTACTATGGGTAAGGTCCTCTGCTCTGCTTAGGTAGAGAAGTGGAAAGATTTTATTCCCTTAAGACACCATCCTCAATTTTCATACTATAGAAGATAATGAGCTCTGAAAGATGTGAAAATCAAATGTTCTCGGAGAAAGGGGTGCTTATTTCTGTCTACAAAGGGCTTAGGTAAAGTTGTCTGTGGAAGATAACATTTGAACTTTTGAAGAAAAGGAAGGATTTAGACATGTAAAACAACAAAGGGGCAGGAGATTTTGCTACTAGCAATGAGGTGGACAAAATATTTGAAAATCCCTTTTACCAGTACACCAAAATGCTGAATAAATTAGCTCATTAAATTCATGACAGGTCTTCTACGAAAGGGAAATCTCCAGGGCTAAAAAGTTAAAAAAAAAAAAAAAGCCGAAACTAGAGTAGTATACTAGCAGTATATTTCCTTTGTGGGCATTTGGCTGATGGCAGAAGTAAAGCACAATCAGGGACAGGTGACAGGCTGCTCTCTACCCAAAGCAGAGAGATAGAATTCATACCCCTGTAACCTCCCAGGCACATAGCTCCAATGGGTGCCATTCCATGGTAGTTGGTGTAAATGGTACCTGTGTTTCAGTGGGTGATGTTTTCATAGAATAAAGTTTAAGTATTTCCACTTGAAATTGTACAACTCATGGTATTGGAGAAGCACCTTCCCCCAACTTCAGCCAGGACCCACAAAAGTCTACACACTCAGTCATAGGTGGGCCAGAAAAATCTCTCCCTCCTGGCAAAGGGAGGTCACAAAGAAATTTGTTCATTTTCATCACAGCTCCAGGTGGGGGAATAAAGATACCACCTGAAAACTTGAAACTGGAGGGTCTGCCATCACTCATAGTCAAAAAGTTCAAATTCACATACCTACACGGTCTGAAAAACCAGAAGCCAAGAAATTAACATAAAGTTGGCCCGGGTTGCTGATGTGCCATACTCTCTGGAAAAAACAAATACGGATCCTCTCTGTAATGACTCACCCTTAGTTAAGCCTTTTAGGATACTTCCAGATTTTAAGATTGTCCAATATAGGCTCAGAGTCAAAAACTGTAAAACATGTACAAGGGACAGCTAAACTGACATAGACCCCTAAGGATTTATGGGAATGATCAGAAACAGAAATTAACATTTAAAGAGATGAAAAATGAAAAATTTAAAGATCTTAGAAATGACTCAAAATTATGTAAATTAAGGACTCTTGTCCTGGAAACCTATACAGGCGAAAGCACCAATAGGATTTTGGCAAGGACTTGTCATGATTAACTGAATAGATGAAGAAAAAAGATATTGATGGGATGTTAAGGACTGACAAGGAAAAAGGAAGAGAAAAGAGAAGATTATGAAATGCAAGTGTATATATTTAGCAACAAATCAGATGGCCAGAGTAAATGACAAATACGAATCAAAAATGGCTGAGATTTCATTCTTTGGAAAGTCAGTCTCAGATGAGGAAGCTGTAAGTATTCACAAAGTTCATGGGAAACACTAAATTTCTTTAGGTCATCAAAAAATATGAGAAGATGCACCTTCAAACATGAAATTTTTCTCACATACATAGGAGTATTCTAATTTAAAAGTATTCCTATATTTTAAAAAATTAAATTAAAAAAATTAAAAGCATGAAGTTGTTCCAGTGTTTCTTAATTCACATCGTTGACTCATTATTACTTAATAACATCCTTAGTCTGGAATTCAAGGAAGAAAGTGGTGATGTGTGGTATGGGGGTATTTAGGCCCTCTGTCTCTGCCCCGACTCCCGCCGCCCCCATGTAAGAGCTGGAAATATAATAGTGAACACAACAGTTGTTTCCTGCTCTCACAGAACTTAAAGTTTAGTGAGGAAGTGAAAACCAAACAAGCAAGTTAAATGTAATGAGTGCTCTGGTTGGGGAAGTAAAGGGTGCTGTTAAAAACAAAGCAGGGACACGCAACTGAAGCTGGAAAGATTGAGCCTTGAAAAACACATAAAAGTTAACTGGGTAGGTAGTGTTGTAGTCACCATGAAGTTCTGAAGGTGTGCTAGAGAGCATGACACATTTGAAGATCTGCAAGAAATATGCTATGGCAGTGTGGCATAGTTGATTGGGCATTAGAATCAAATTGCTTGAGTTCGAATCCTGTCTCCACCACATCCAGCTCTATGACTTTGGGCAGTTGTCTTAACCACTGTAATTCTGTTGAGGAAAGTACATTATTTCATGTATTTAAGGTGTTTAGTAAACACTGGTAAGGCATAGTAAATGCTAGGTGTTTGCTTTTATAATAATGATGAGATAATGATAGCTAGAGCAAAGAATTGAGAACCAAGCATGGCCAGAGGTGAATATAGAAAGATAAGTAAAGACAGGCCATGCACGGTGGCTCATACCTATAATCCCAGCACTTTGGGAGACCAAGGCAGGTGGATCACTTGAGGTCAGGAATTCAAGACCAGCCTGGCCAATGTGGTGAAACCCCATCTCTACTAAAAATACAAAAATTAGCTGGACATAGTGGCAGACGCCTGTAATCCCAGCTACACAGGAGGCTGAGGCAGGAGAATCTTGAACCTAGGAGGCTGAGGTTGCAGTGAGCCGAGATTGCGCCGTTGCACTTTAGCCTGGGTGTCACGGTGACACTCTGGCTCAAAAAAAAAAAAAAAAAAGATAAGTAAAGACAGACGATGCAAGGACCTTATGGACCATGTTAAGGAGGAAAGACTAAGGGTGTAGGGGAAACCATTGTAGGAGAATAAGGTGATCAGATTGGTATTTTGAAATTAGAAGGATTATTTTGGTTTTAGAATGGAGTCTAGATTGGTTTGGTCAAGACTGGAGGAGGACTGAGTAATAATAGAAAAACTAGGCTGGACTGGGTGGCTCATACCTATAATTCCAGCAGTTTGGGAGGCTGAAGTGGGAGGATTTCTTGAGCCCAGGAGTTTGATACCAGCCTGGGCAGCATAATGAGACCTCATCTCTACAAATAACAAAGTTAGCTGGGCATGGTGGTGCATACTTGTGGTCTCAGCTACTTGGGAGGCTGAGGTGGGAGGATCACTTGAGCCAGGGAGGTCAAGGCTGCTGTTAGCTGTGATTGCACCACTGCACTCCAGCGTGGGCAACAGAGTGAGGCCTTGTCTCAAAAAAAAAAGAGGAAGAAAAACCAACCAAAGTGTTTTTCCTGTTCTCTCACTCAATAATCAACACAATACTTCTGTGATCATCAAGAAGTATGGAGATTTCTCTCCACCAGCCGACACCAATTGGATGTCCCCTAATTCAAATCTGATGGTATCTACCTAGAGATAGCATCAGATTGCACGGGTTGAGGGCCCAGTCCCACTAGACTACCTCCCAACTTCTGACACCAATCACAAGCCTGGATTGTCTTACCCATGTTTCTAACTGACTGGCTGTAAACCAAGGTTCCCACTACCCACTCCTTGTGTTTGATTAATTTGCTAGAGTGGTTCACAGAACTCAGAGAAACGCTTATATTTACCAGACGCACAAGGCAAGGGATACGGAAAGGGGTACGGAGCTTCTGCACCCTCTCTGGGTATGCCATCCTTCAGGAATCTCCGCATACTTGGCTATCTAGAAGTTCTCTCAACCCAGTGCTTTTGGGTTTTTATGGGTTACACAGGCACGATCAACTTAACTGTCATCCTCTCTCTCTGCCTTCCTGGAATTGGGGATGGAGGACTAAATATCCAACCCTGTAATTATGCCTTGGTCTTTCCTGTGACCAGCTCCCATCCTAAAACTATCTATGAACTGCAAGCCTTATTAGTATATAGAAGACACTCCTATTACCCTGGAGATTCCAAGCGTTTTTAAGAGCTTTTTGCCAGGAAATGGGATGAAGACCAAATACATATATATTTCACAATATCACAGGTACCCCTTAGGAAGTTATAATTGACCAAGAGATGATGGTGGTTTGGGTAAAGTAATGACAGTGAAGATGGAGAAAAAGGGTAGATTTGAAATAAATTTAGGAGGAAGTATAAACAGTCCTTGGTACTTTCGATGGGAAGATGGGACAAGAAAGCAGGTGTCTAGCTATGTCAAGTGGGTGAATCTTGGTTCCACTCACTAAGAAAGGGAAGGAGAGCGAGTGTTAGGGTATGGCATGAGGGATGATTTCAGAGGTGAAACAGCTTGGGGTGGTAAATACAAGGCTGTGGGGTGTGGATGGCTAAAGTAGGATGAGGAAACCCTTGTGAATTTTCTAATATGTTTTTTCTATTTCAGAAAACCTGTTTGAAATGTGGTGGTTTCAGCAAGGCTTAAGTTTCCTTCCTTCAGCTCTTGTAATTTGGACATCTGCTGCTTTCATATTTTCATACATTACTGCAGTAACACTCCACCATATAGACCCAGCTTTACCTTATATCAGGTAAGTGAAATGTATTCTTTAGATAGGAGACTCTTTATGTCTCATTCTTATTTTAACATTGAAGCCGACATTTAATGTCAACCTTTTAAAAATCAGATTTTACACTGGCATTGCAACAATAAAGAAAATATATAAAGGAACTTAAATTTGGCTTTTCCTTTATGATAAATGTAGAGACGGCTCAGTAAGATTCAGTTTGTGAACTGGTTATTGAACTGTGACTCCTTAGTGCCTTGTTTTCTAAGTAAGTATTTGAAGTTATTTCAGAATATAGAATTGGAATTATTCTCCCCTTAAAGTAAAAAAAAAAAAAAAAAGCTACAAACAATAATAATAATAATATGAAAAGATAATGGAAACAACAAGCATTTCTTGATATACTTACTACATATGAAGTAATTTTCTTTTTTTTTTTTTTTTTTGGAGATGGAGTCTTGCTCTGTTGCCCAGGCTGGAGTGCAGTGGTGCAATCTCAGCTCACTGCAACCTCCACCTCCTGGGTTCAAGCGATTCTTCTGCCTCAGACTCCTGAGTAGCTGGAATTACAGGCGTGTACCATTACGCCCAGCTAATTTTTTTATTTTTTGTATTTTTAGTAGAGATGGGGTTTTACGATGTTGGTCAGGCTGGTCTTGAACTCCTGACTTCATGATCCACCCGCCTCAGCCTCCCAAGGTGCTGGGATTAACAGGTGTGAGCCACCATGCCCAAAACTTTGTGTTTTTTTTTTTTTCTTTTTTTCTCTTTTTTTGACATGGAGTCTCACACTGTTGCCCAGGTTGGAGTACAGTGGCATAGTCTCGGTTCACTGCAACCTCTGCCTCCCAGGTTCAAGTGATTCCCCTGCCTCAGCCTCTTGAGTCACTGGGATTACAGGCATACACCACCACGCCCGACTAACTTTTGTATTTTTAGTGGAGTCGGGGTTTCACAATGTTGGTCAGGCTAGTCTTGAACTTCTGACCTCGTGATCCGCCCACCTTGGCCTCCCAAAGTGCTGGGATTGCAGGCATGAGCCACTGCGCCCAGCCTCGTAGAAAGTAATTTTCTAAGCATTCTTCATGTCCTAAATAGTTGAATCCTTACAACAACTGGATAAGATAGGAACTATGATCCTCATTTGAGAGAGAAGGAAATGAGGTCCAGAGAGGTGAAGTTATTTGCTCATTAACATACAACTCAGTTAGTGTTGGAACCAAGAATTAAACCTGGACAGTTTGACTCTAGAAGCTAGGCTCTTACTCTTTATGCTGCCTAGATATTTTTGACGTATTAAGTATCAAAATTGATAGATAACATTTTTGAAATCTCACAATGAAGAAGGGATAGTCAGTTGCATATGCTCTTTTTTTACACTTGATCTTAGCCAAAAGGCCAAGAAGCTATAATAACCCTCTTTTTTTAAAATTGCAATGGCAGTAATTATTACAACAAATTTTAAATAATACCAGAGTGATTATAAAAATGAAAAGCAAAAATCCCTTCCTGACACCCTCCAATTTCTATACCCTAGAGACAATTCATAGTTTGGTAGATTTCCTTCCAGAGTTTGGTTTGTTTTATCTTATTATCCTGTATGTACAAAACTCTCTCTTTTTTTTCTCCTCCTTTCTCACTTTTTTGGGTTTTTAATTTTGTTTCGTGTGTAAAAAGTGATAGGATGTTGACAGAAATTGCTTACTTATTCTTTCTTCCATTTTTTTGGCTGTTACAAACAGTGCTATAATGAAGGTTTTATTACATATAACTTTACATAGTGATATTGATGTGAGGTAGATTTCTAGAAGTGAGATTGCTAGATAGGTAATAGGGCATCTACATTTTTCGTTTGACATTTCTAGACATGCTTTTAAAAGTATTGCATCTATTTATACATTCACAAAAAGGATATGAGGAAATCATAATCATATACATGGTTTCTGAGCTATTGAGGCTTAAATTTCTCTATAAAAGGTAAATAAATTACATAGGGCAGAGAGATGAAGAAAGCATAATTATTAAAACATTGTTATTAAATATGATTAAGCAACTACTAATGGGTTTTAATCTAGATGATTTCACATGGAATATAGTTAGGTCCGCCCCTGAAAGTATTCAACCTCTATATGATGCTTTTGAAACATCGGTCTCTTCATAGAGATGCCAGATTTTGTTGCTATTGTTAAGTAATATTTTTTGTTTTGTTGTTGTTGTGGTTGTTTCATTTATTTGTTTACCTTCAGAAAAATAACCTTTCCAACACAGAAAATAGTAATCTTTTAAAGAATGATAAATTGGAAGGTTAAATTTATCTTTTAAAAATGTCAAGAAAAGATCTGGACATTACATGTTGTTTCTGCAGTGGTATGGCTTGGCACAAAAGATATAAACAAATTGGATGCAGTTTGGGAAGATTTACAAAACCCAAAAATGTTTTAGAATTTAAGCTTCCATTTCGCGGAATAATTTGATAAATAATTACCACTCTGCTAGTGGAATAGGTAGCCTAAGGAGCCACACCATTCTTTAGTAACTCCAGAAGGTACATATTTAACATTTGTGAGGGTCTTTCACAGTATTTTTTTTCTCCATCTGAGAACTTGTCTGCTTTCATTTTGAAGAACTTTTAGTACAGCCAGCCCTCTGTATCCATAGTTCCACTTCTATACATCCAGTCAACCACAGATTGAAAATATTCTGCAGAAATTCCATCAGGTTCCAAAACTTGAGTTTGCCAAGTGCCAAGTACTTTGTTGAATCCACAGGAATGAAGTGCTGTGTATTAGATGTTATAAATAATCTAGAGATAATTTAAAGCATATGGGAAGATGTGCATAGGTTATATGCAAATACTACACCATTTTATGTAAGAGACTTGAGCATCCCCAGGTTTTGTTATCTGATGGGGGTCCTGGAACCAGTCCCCCACAGATACCAAGGGACTACTGTAATATAAAATGCCACTTAGTTCTTTTTCAGAGTTTCACTTCCTTGATGGTACTGCATGTGATTTTCTTTAAAAAGCACCCTAGGCACATCTTTTTCTGTTCTGCCCCTTCTGCTTTTTAATTTTTCTGCTGTTGAACTTAGTATTACCCTGAGGTCTTTCTCCAACATTCTGACATACATATTTAAACTCTAGTACTTATTTTTATTTCTTGTAGGCTCATTTCCTTCATCTGCAAAATGATTAAACTAGCTAGTCTGCAAAATTCTTTTCAGTTCATAGATCCTATCCAAAAGGTTTAGCTGTTAGCCTGGGCAACAGAGCGGGACTCTGTCTCAAAAAAAAAAAAAAAAGTTTAGCTGTTAACAGCCCCAGTGGACATAACCAAATGTAAATTTCACTTCAAAGGCAATTTTGCTATAAGTGTGCTTCAGGTGTTCTCTCAGTTGGTTCAAGTAGTGGATGCCCAAGGGAGTGACTAGCCACTGGGGTAAGAGAAGAAATATTACAACATCTATGTATATTTTTAATCTAAAAACATTTAAACTTTGCCAACATTTAACATATACAATAATGATAACATATATTTTGATGTTAGAAGGTCAGACATTTTTTGGTGATGCTGTGACCACTGAGATGAAGTGCTGTGATAATGAGGTGATGGGCATGGCTGTTTTCATTTGTAGGCCAGTGTTTGTCATTCTGTCCTGAGCCAAAGGAAGAAACACTCTTAGCCAACCATCCTGGAAATGCATGCCTTTGTTAACTTACATGTACCATTTGAAGTATATCTATGAAAATTATGGATTTCTTTTTTCTAAGAATAATACATATATATTGTGGAAAATTTGAAAAGTAGAAGGAACTTCTACTTTTTTATTCCCTCCTCCTGAAGATGGTCAAAGTACCAAAATCTTTTGTATGTAAAAGATCTGTTTTGTTATTTTATAATTGTTTCTTTACAAATACATTATTTTTTGTTTCTCTATTTTCACTGCAGATTTTTATTTTTATTTTTTAAGAGAAAGACTCACGGAATTGTAAAGTTAGAAGCAGCAATCCTTACAATTCATGTTTAATATTTTCCATTTCCTAACACCCCTAATCTAAATGTTTACTAAATGTTATGGCTTCTTACCAGCTATAACTTTCTATTTCTTTTTTATCCCCATTGCATTGTCTTAGTTGAAACCCTGATTATCTCTTTCCTGTAGTATGTCAATTCAAGGCCAAAGACATTGTCTTTTTAATCTTTGTAGTAGTTTTAAGAAGGGGAAAATAACTAATATTTAATGGGTATCTCCCATGAGCCTGCTACTGTGCTAGATACTTAACATGCATTACCATTACATTTCATCCTTATAGTGATATGATGAAGCTGGGAGGGAATGAATAGCCCCATTTTGCAAATGAAGGGAACAGTTTTAGGGAGATAAAAGGATGAACCTAAGGTCCTGCAGTAAGTAAGTGGTGGGGTTTTAATCTGCCTGGGTGTGTTGCATACTGCCCTGAAAGACAGGCATGTAAGTGGATACATTGCAATGCTGTGTGGTAAGTGAGTTTATGGAAGTTCAGAAAGCATGCTGTGTGAGTCACTATCTGCTAGAGGAGTCATCCAAGGTTATAGAGGGGAAGAGACTCAAAACTGGTCTTGAATGTAAGCTCTGCGAGGGCAGGGGCTTTGTCTATTTTACTTATCACTGTGTTCCCGTTTCTGAAATGGTGTCTGGCACATGGTAAGTACTTGATAATACTTTTAAAAATTGATCAGTAGGTTAATAGGTGTTAATTGAATACAGGCATAGTCAACAAAAGGTGCAAAAAGGCAGAGTTGTGAAAAGCCTGTGGTGTTTAAGGAGTATTCTGGTGGGACAGATAAATTCATCTGCCTGAATGATGGTCGGTCAATAACATAGTCTTAACATATCAAGGATAGCTTTTTAAAAATCAGTATATATTGATTTCTACTATGTAGAAGAGAAATAATCTTAAAAATGATGTGAGTAGAAAGTGAAGTAGGCAGATATTTGTGAACTCAAATTGTCATGTTCTCTGTGTAAAATGATATGAGTTGAACTCATGGACTTATAAAAGATAAGAGGTTTGAAGTAACTCCTGGTATTCTTATCCCTTAGAAGAAATATATGTGTCTATCTAGTGTGAGAAATGCACATATCTTCCTTTTTTTCTTTCAGTGACACTGGTACACTGGCTCCAGAAAAATGCTTATTTGGGGCAATGCTAAATATTGCGGCAGTTTTATGTAAGTATTGAAAGTGATTTTAACAATAATACTTAATAGCCAAATTGCTACTGTATTTTCTTCTTTCAACACCGGAGTGTTACTTGTTTTACTTTCTAGTTATATTTGAGAGTATGTTATCACTAAATAATTGATCATAATTATGCTCCTTTTAAAAGATAAACACTTTTCTAGAAATGTTGACTTATGGGAATAAACCTTTAAAAAATATGTATAGGATTATTCTACTATTCATTCAAATGGAAGTTGTTAAGTATAACCATATATTCCTTGAGGACTGTAGTGGACTTCTTAAGCAACCAGTAAGGAACAAAGAGTTGTGGATGCAGCTGACCACAACTAATCCTAACTAAATTCCTTTGGGATAAGCAGTTTAGGTGTTTGAGAATAAAGATGGAACCATGTTTTGATTTTTGAGCAACATTCTAATGCTAAAGGGATAGAGTTGCTACTGAAGTATTTCATGGCCCTGTTTATTTTGAACCAAATTTTTATTAATGGTTTACGCACATATTTTTCCATCAAGTGTGATTGTTTTAAATATTTGCATTCTTCTGTATGATGTTTATTATTTGCTTGGGTCAAAAATGGAAATCAGGAAGATAATTCAACTTAAAGAAGTTCGTCTCATGACCAAACTCTTTAGAAACACGTCTTTACCAGCATATCTCTGTAATGCTTTCTACACTGTTGAATTCTCTGGCAATATTTCTGCAGTGGAAAATTTGATTTAGCTAGTCCTTGACTGATAAATATGGTAAGGTGGGCTTTTCCCCCTGTGTAATTGGCTGCTATATCTTATTGAGCCAAGTTGTAATTTGAAATAAAATGATATGAGAGTGACACAAATAAGCTTTTGGGTTTTTTGCCTATGCCCATTTTATCTATATTCTAGAACTAGTTACTTCTGATTCTGATGTTAATCATAAAAATATGTTGTGTTTTATATAACTATTTGTAAATATGAGACCCATGGAAGGCAAATGATTTGCTTAGTCACTGGAGACATCAGTAGTTCTGTAATACAACCTTAAGGCTCTCCAACATCCACAGCATGAGCCAGGCACACAGGTATGTGCCTACAGTCCCAACTATCTGGGAGGCTGAGTCCAATGGATCACTTGAGGTCAGGAGTTGGAGTCCAGCCTCTGCAACATAGAGAGACCCCCATCTCTTAAAAGCAAAAACAAAACTACAGCTATTTTGTTTTTTGTTTTTTTCTTTTTATTCTCTCTGGTTAATTTTAAAAGGGAAATCTGTGATTCTGGATAGCAGTGACATTTGTGAACTCTTCATTGGCAACTTTATTTCTTGGTTATTTATTACTTTGTTGTTTTTTGGATTATCTTTTCCCAGGCATTGCTACCATTTATGTTCGTTATAAGCAAGTTCATGCTCTGAGTCCTGAAGAGAACGTTATCATCAAATTAAACAAGGCTGGCCTTGTACTTGGAATACTGAGTTGTTTAGGACTTTCTGTTGTGGCAAACTTCCAGGTTTGTGTTCTAGCCCAGCATAGGTATTTTCCTTAAGTACATAAATATACTATATATTAAAAGGGAAACCTGAAGCATTCAGTTACATACTGATATTTCTTTACCTTAACAAAATAGAAATCACTTCCTTTAAATTATTTGACCCTATGAGAAATAGCTACTTGCACAACTAGAAAAATTCATATTTAAAAGTCTGAACAAATACAAATTATTTTAACTTTTTCTAAGGATCCACAGGACTATAGAGTCTTCATTACTATTTAGTTGGAGATTACTTCAACTCACTACTGAAACAAAATTGATACAAATTATAAGTGACACAATTACAGATTTTAAAAGTTTTGTTTTTAGCATGCCTAACAATTTATAATCATTTACCTATTTTATCTACTTGTTTGGATGTTTTCATTGATTGCCTGCATTCCTAGGTGTCCTGCCTTATATATGAGGAAATGAAAGGAAGAGCTGTAGGTCTTCTAGCTTTTTCTCAGGAAAAAATAATGTCAAATACTTAATGTGAAAGTAGTGGTCAACCTTCATCAAATATTTTTCAGTTCTCCACAGAGAGAGCAGTAGGAAAGAAACACTGGGCTCAACTCTGAATACAAGTAAAAGTGGGAATTTATAGCTGTGGAGCAGGGTGCAGTGGTTAGTGGATGGAAAATTACTAAGCTGGAAACGTAAAGGTTAAGAAAGAATTCTGGTTAAACTGCCTTGGTTTGTTTTGTGTTGCTATAAAAGAATACTTCAGGCTGGGTAATTTATAAGAAAAGGGCTTTATTTGGCTCATGATTCTGCAGGTTGTACAAGAAGCATGATGCCAGCATCTGGTTATGATGAGGACTTCAGGAAGCTTACACATGATGGAAAGCAAAGCGGGAGCTGGTGTGTGCAGAGCTTTACGTGGCAAGGGAGGAAACAAGGGGGTGGTGGTGCCAGTCTCTTTTTAACAACCAGCTCTCACAGGAATGAATAGAGCGAGAACTCATTCACCACCCGCAACCCGCCGCATCAGTCTATTCATGAGGGATCCATCCCTGTGACCCAGACACCTGCCATTAGGCCCCATTTCCAACATTGAGGATCAAATTGCAACTTGAGATTTGGAGGGGTCAAATGTCAAAACCATAGCGCTGACCTAATAGGATTCTTGGTGAAGGCAGACCAGGGTGATTAGACATCACTTGAGGCATGGTAGAGGTGATAATTATATTTATGGTGATCAGATATTGAGAATGGAGGATTATGGCTAAATTGAACAAGATTCTTGCTAAAATTGGACAATGCAGAGATGAGATGAACATGGCAACCCAGAAGTCAGGACCTAGTTGACAAGAGTGTTCAGAGTAAGCTGAGCTGGGTTTGGTGAAGGAGAGAATTTTTGTCACCTGACAGTAACTCATGTAATTCCATTGACATTCATGTTTGCTAGATATAGGGGTGCAGCAGGTGTGCACAGGTCAGAAAAAATGGACCCTGGAGAAAATGTAGTTTTGCTAGACATTATTTCCCAGCAGCCACTTTATACTATGAAAGGATACCAACAATTTGGTGTACTACTAGCTAGCTGTCTGTGCCACAAATAGAGTTCTGCCTTCCCTAATCAGTTTCTGTAGCTCATTGTTAAAAAATGTTTTGGGGAATTTCAGTGTGAGGATGGTGATTCTCTGTCTCTTGGTCAATTTAACAATGTTTCTCATCACTTTTATGGTAAAAATGGATCTCCAATATTTGTTTACACAGCCCAGCAAATGCTAATAGCAGTTCTTGATAGCACCCACACAAGCTGCCTTTCCACCTTTATCTCATTTACTTAAGGTAGCCTATATACTTTCTTTATTATTTTGCTTTTAGCTTTTATTCTAATTTACCTTCACCCCAAGAGTACCTATGGCCGTGTAATTTTGAATTAAATTACTTTTTCTCTTTTGTTAACATCTCTTCATGCAACTTTAGTTGCCCTCTTCATCTTTCACTGATGGCTTTATTGCTGGGCCCTGTTTATAACCAGATCCTGTAGCATTACGCAGATATCAAACGACTCTCTTTCTTTCTTTTTTTCTTTTTTACTCTCCGCTATCCTAATGAGGATCTCCTTCCTTTCCAGAGTAAACGTTTACTACTTAAAATGGCGAGTGTGCTGCTTCCTCCTCCACTTCCCCCTTTTCTTTTGTGGAGACAAATTCTAGGTAATTTATACAGGAAAAATTTTACAAAACCAGGTCTATAAATGGTTTACCTTTGCAGATATTGGCTTGGAAGAGAGGCTAGCACTGTGTTTTAAATGGAGTCGGGACTTACTGGTTTTACTTCTTGAATATTTTTTGAAGACATTCACTTCTTTCCATTTCTGTCTTTACTTCCCTCCTTACTGTCTTATTCTCAGCTAGTTTAGATTTAATCATCTCTCATCTGAGCTACTGCCATAGCCTCCTCAATGGTTCCTGTGAATTCACTCTTACATTCCTTGAGTCATTTCTTCATATTGCAGTAAAAGTGATCTTTTGGAAATGTATATATATCTCACTTTGCTTCCCTGTGTCCTTGCTTAAAGTTCTACAGGTTTAAAAATTATGTAGAAAGAGATACAATCAAGAGAGAAAGAAATAATTTGCTAAACCACCAAACTGCCTAACTCAAAGATCTTGTATGATCTGGCTGATGTCTACCTTTCAAGCCTAATTTTGCATTATTCCCCTTCTTAATGTCTCCATTGTATATATCACTTTTTGTGCTCCTTAAATAGGACAAGCTTATTTAATTCTCTTTCACATACTGTTTCCTCTGTTTGGTATGCCGTAACGCCCTTTATATCCATGGTTGTAAATTTATTATTTTTATTTTTTAGTTGATGTATTTCTTTATTAATTACAAGCACAATGGTTTTGAAACGTTCACCGTTGTATTTCCAGCACCTAGCGTAGTACTTAGGACAAACATGCTTTCATTAATTATTTAGTAACTTATTGAGAGAGGTTAAAGGGACTATGCAGGATTATAAAAAATTCTGTTATTGCTATGGTTGCCTGCATTTAAAGAGATGCCTAATAATTGCTATAAAATGGTATTTGAAAAATCTAACTTAAAAAATAAAAATTGAATTTCTTTTAAAACAAATTTGTATATGTTCAGTAAAATAACTACATGGCAATTGTCTTCACTGCCTACTTAGAGGAATTTTTTTCTTCATACAAAATTTATCAAAGGAGAGTAGTAAAAGTTTAGTAAGCAGAAATCTATATTAATTTTCTATGGCTGCCATAATAAAATATCAAATTGGGTGACTGAATAGAAATTTATTCTGTCAAAGTTTGGGAGGCCAGAAGTCTAAAATCAGGGTGTTGGTAGGGTTGATTCTTTATTGGAGGCTCAGAGGGAGAATCTGTTCCTGGCTTCTGGTGATTACCAGTAGTCCTTGGTGTTCCTTGGCTTATGGCAGCGTAACTATATAAAACCAATCAAGCTAGAGCCAAGGGAAAATGTTTCAATTTCTTGAGTCTTTAAATTTTATTTACAGTTAAATTGAATTTAAATGGAAACTCCCAGTTCCCAGCACTGCAGTCCATCCTAATCTTTTCTTACTGCACTGTGCTTTTCCTATGACACTTATCACCATGAGGCACACTGGAATTTCCTTATTTCTGAAGTTTATATTTATTGTTTGTGTATCTTTACTAAACTCAGAGCTGGATTTTTGCTGTTTTGTTCTCTAATGGATCTGAAGATTTAGAATAGTGCCTAGCACCTAATAGGCACCAAGTAAATATATTATTAAATGAAGAAAATAATAATTGAATAGTTCCTATTATATTTCCAGTGGAGATGTATGAAATAGTTTGGTATTACTATAATCCTCAGGTTTATGCTGAGTATTATGAGAGAAAATTACCTCAGAAAGTAATTTGTTTGTAGAGTTGGCTGAGCTTCTCTACTCAGTGAATGTCCTATTGAAATCTCTGACTTGTGCTTTTAAATGTTGTGTTGCCAATGTGTTCTGATTTTCTTTTATTGACGTATTTCTTCTCTCTGTCTCTCAGAAAACAGCCCTTTTTGCTGCACATGTAAGTGGAGCTGTGCTTACCTTTGGTATGGGCTCATTATATATGTTTGTTCAGACCATCCTTTCCTACCAAATGCAGCCCAAAATCCATGGCAAGCAAGTCTTCTGGATCAGACTATTGTTGGTTATCTGGTGTGGAGTAAGTGCATTTAGCAGTATCCTTCACTGTACAATGTGACTACACTTGGAAAGGAATTGAATGACAAAATTTAAGTGAACACTATTGGTGCAGTGTAAGAAGCCTTTTCTTTCTTTCTTTCTTTCTTTCTTTTTTTTTTTTTTTGTAGGAGAGATTCTTAGGTTCAGAACCCTAAACTAAAGAATTTGAAATATAAAATTCAGATTGTACATAGCACTTCAGTAATTGAGCTAGGAACAAAAATGTTGAGCCTGATCATACTCACTTTAAAGAAATGAGGGATGAGTAAATGCCATCTCTGAGAACCATTATTTAGTTAAAGATTATGATAGAACTGCTAATTTTCTGAACAAAGAGGTGGGATTTGACTGTGAGAACCATTTTGTTGTAACCCTCTGAGCAGCACATTTTGTTTTACAGTACCACTGCTGTGTAACATTAAGTCTTTAAGAAAATGGGTTCAGACCTTAGCAATAAATGTGTGAGTAATCCTTTTAGACTGTAAAGTTATCTTTGTTCTCTGAGGTCTTCTCTGAGATTCTTCCTTGACTTATGTTTTTATAGTGCTGACTTGCTCATCAATTTTGCACAGTGGCAATTTTGGGACTGATTTAGAGCAGAAACTCCATTGGAACCCCGAGGACAAAGTAAGAACTTATAGTCTATAAAACTTCGTTTTATATTAAAGATGGTTATTTTGGTTGATCTTGATGTGTTTTTCATTTCATCAGTAACAATGAAAGTCTTCTGGTGGAATAATCAGTTCTGTATTAAAATTATTTTCTGGATATGGTAGGGTTTATGTAGAACCTTCTATATTCTCCTGTTACCTGTGATCTGTAGATATTGTCAAAATATGAAGAGCACTGTGATGGCAAAAGAGTTTTCTGAGAAATTGACTCCCCTAAATGTGGGTATAGTATATAATATAGCCAACCACGATCATTTATGTTTTCAGTACTTGTTTTCTGAATTGAAAAGACATCTCCCACTTTTTGTTATCTGGAAATTGATTATAGACTCTGCATTTAGGTTTCAGTATTGTCAATATCTGAATGTAGATAGCATCTTGGACCCTGAGAATAAAGGAAGGGGAACATATACTAAAGAATAAATTGAATTCCTCTGTTTTCACAAACCACTTGGTGGTGGTTTATTTAAGAATTAACCCCAAATTGGACATGTTTGTGGTAATGAATGAAATAATTTACTAGATTTTCCCAATTGTAACCCATATATTATTTAATATCATAAACACACCACTTACTAAGTTTATTCTGAGCATTGTTAAACTTTTCTTAGTCACATATTATGAATCTTATGGCTTTGGGTAAGGCAGTAGTAATTTCTCGTTTGTAGAGTAAAAATGATCCTGTTCTGTCTTAGCTATTTAAGTGGAAATTTTATTCGCTCCCAGTGAAATAAATAGAGTGTCATTTAGGAGGACTTCCTAATGCTGGCTCTCTAATTCTAGAGATATATGCCTGGTAAGTCAAGGGTTGATTTTCAGAAGCTCCATTGTTTTGTAAGAATTGTGTGTTTTTTATTTGAAACATAGTATATAGATCATTTAAATGAAATTTCACAAAACTGTTGTTTTTTTCCTCTGACTCAGGGTTATGTGCTTCACATGATCACTACCGCAGCAGAATGGTCTATGTCATTTTCCTTCTTTGGTTTTTTCCTGACTTACATTCGTGATTTTCAGGTAAGAAAACAGTATTAGCTTCATTCAGTGAGACTTCCTTCTCTTAGTCCAGGAAGGTGGACTAAGAGAACTTTCCATAGGCAACTCTCAGCCTTTTTGAAAATTAACTGTTTATGATTTGGTATCATAAACAAGTGATGTAACTTTTCAGGTAAATTGTTTCTGTGTTTAAAGAAGTAGTGTATTGCTAGCAAGATTTAGCCTTGAAAATTGGGCTATAAAATAAATTTCAGAAATTCTTACATAGAAATTTTTATTGATTCTGTGTACTTTTACATAGGTCATTCTCAACATTATACTGATTCTTAATAGAAACCAAAGAAAAACAAGGAACTTTATGAATACAGAAGCTTGGTTTTTCCAGATTTTAATTGGTACAAAGAAGATACCTTTGACAGTAAAACAGTTGTCTCACTCTTAATACCATTAGAATTGATTTACATTCGTAATCACAAGGTAGCCTATAGAACATATTGAAGGAGTGATCTCTCTTTAAGGAGGAAACTTCTATATATAATTTTCTTTTCTGTTCCAGAAAATTTCTTTACGGGTGGAAGCCAATTTACATGGATTAACCCTCTATGACACTGCACCTTGCCCTATTAACAGTGAACGAACACGGCTACTTTCCAGAGATATTTGATGAAAGGATAAAATATTTCTGTAATGATTATGATTCTCAGGGATTGGGGAAAGGTTCACAGAAGTTGCTTATTCTGCTCTGAAATTTTCAACCAGTTAATCAAGGCTGACAGTAACATTGATGAATACTGATAATCAGGAAACATGAAAGAAGCCATTTGATAGATTATTTTAAAGGATATCATCAAGAAGACTATTAAAAACACCTATGCCTATACTTTTCTATCCTAGAAAATAAAGTCGAAAGACTATGATATCATAGTTTTTTATACCTTATTTAAGAGAAACAACCTGACGTGCACCAATCAGTCTGCACATCCAGCCCTTCACATTTTATAAGTTATTGTAGATCATATTTTGTTAGGAGCACTTTTATGAGAGACATTTTCCGTGACTACATAATCAGCATTGGTCAGTAAATCCTTTAGAACTGGGTTTTGAAATGGGAGTTTTATCATATTAAATCATTTCTTACAGTCTTAATTTTTTGTTGTTGTTCTGGAATCTACTTGGAAAGTAGACCTGGATCCGTGTGAGCTCTTTCATGGCTTAAGTTTTGCCCAAGAGATTTTGTAGGTGATGATTTTTTTTTTCTTTTTTTTTTTCTGGTCACAATGCCAGATACTAAGCTGATTGGTCTGTCATACACATGCTTGCAGTAGTTTCATGAAGTTTAGTCTCTGGTGTGAGACTGTAATCACCAATGAAGGAGAGAGGTACCTATAGGTAAATTTAGTCATATTTTATATAAAACAAGGGTTAGTATTCATATAACATTGAAAAGTTTGGGAATAACAGCAGATATGATTAATATCAAACAAAAGTCATAACCGTAGTCAAGAGCTTCTTAGATTTTTGTTTATAGCAAGTTATAATTACATGTAAAAGTAGTCTTGAACAGGTATATATTGAGCCTTTTTAATGGGATGTAACTTTTGTAGAGCCCAAATTCTAAAGAACAAAATTGGCAATCCAATTAAACTACATGCAAAATAATTGTGATACATGCATCTACAAAAACAATGTTTTCATTTTTTCTGGTTATGCAGATGATTGGATTGTTTCTTCTTGGATCTCTGTATGTACAGGTAAAGAATAGTTTACAGATCCCTGATGAAATGAAAAAGAAAAAAATGCTCATTTGGAAAGTGCCCAGTGATGAACTGGTTTGCAAAATAATCTTTGAAGACGATTAACCAGGTTTTTATCTTTTTAGAAGAGATGGTTCCCTGGCCAGAAGAAAAGATGGTGAGAAAACATTTAAACTGTCAGGTGGAGCAAGTCAAGGAATAATGCTTATGTGATGGAGACCTCAATTATAAATTAGTTGTTAGATACAAGAATCAGTAAATAATATTTCTGAAGTCTTCTGGACTGATAAGACAAAGAGAATAAAATACTATACCTATATTAAACAGCAGTAAACCTGGGAGACATTTCCATAAGTATTGATTGACTAAATGCTGACATTGCTAGAAATAATTTGGATACAAACCATGAAAAAGTATCATGCCTTTGAAAAGCACGGTGTAACACACCTGCAAAATGTTATTTAGTCCTGATTCCTGTATCAGGGAAGCTATTATTGAAGTTATGAAGCATCATAGTATGGGGAGAAGGAAATTGACAGAGTCAATGTTTATAAAATTATAAAATTTGTATGGGGAAGGTGGCTCAGGGAAAAACATGGACTTTGTCCATTCCTAGAACATGAGGCTTAGCGATACATACCAACATATTAAATAAATTGTTTTAAGACAAAAAAAAATACTTTGATAATATTTGAATCCCATTAGTTAACTTTTACCCTTAGAAATAACATAGGCTAAAAATGTTAATACAGTTGGCTTGCATTATTCATGGCTTAGCTTTTTGCGTTTTGAGTTATTTGCAGTCAATCATGGTTTGAAAATAAGATAATTTCAGAAATAATTCATAAATTCAAATTATAGGCTCTTCAGAGTAGTGTGATGAAATCTTATTTCCCTGCTGCCCAGGATGTAAATCATCTCTTTTTTCTGCATATCTATGCTGTAGACACTACCCATTCATTAGTCACTTTGTAGCCATCAGTTATCAGATGGACTGTTGCAGTATCTCGGTGCTTGTGTTCAAGTAGCCCATATTTTATTTAATGCCCCAAAGCACAAGAGTAGTAAGCTGGCATATTATTATAATTGTTCTATTTTATTATTGTTGTTCATGTCTTACTATGCCTAATATATATGTTAAACTTTATCTCATATATATTAAACTTCATCATAGGTATATATATATATATGTAGGGAAAAACAGTATATAGAGGGTTTAGTACTATCTATAGTTTCAGATAATCCACGGGAGATCTTGGAATATATCCCTACTGATAAGGGGACACTGCTGTAGCTTTGTGGAGGGATTATAAGAGAATTTGGAATGTGTGTTTATCCCTAACTGTAATGCTGAAGTGACAGAAGACAGTCATACTGACCATCAAAATATACCTTGCCTCCATTGTCAGATACAGTAGCTTGATTGAACAGATAAGGCATTTCTCTTCAATTCCATCAACATTTTTGAGTTGAATGTTTAACTTTAAGAGGTCTTAAGCTAACAAAATTGGCAGATACTGTGAACTGATAGTGAAAAATCTGTTTCCTTTTTGTCCTGGGTATACAGCAAGACTATATTTCCTAGCCTCACGTGCAGTTAGATGTAGGTGCAAAACTGAATTTTAGAAAGTGGAATGGATGTATTTATATTTTTAAGGTTTTGAGAATTCATAATGCTTTCTCCCAGTTTTTTCTCTTTGTACCAATTGGATACTGATTACAAGCTTGTAAGAGATAGTGGAATCGGCTGGGCACGGTGACTCACACCTGTAGTCCCAGCACTTTGGTAGGCCAAGGTGGGCAGATCGCCTGAGGTCTGGAATTCAAGACCAGTCTGGCCAACATGGTGAAACCCTGTCTCTACTACAGATACAAAAATTAGCCAGACCTGGTGGTGTGTGCCTGTAATCCCAGCTACTCGGGAGGCTGAGGTGGAAGAATCACTTGAACCTGGGAGGTGGAGGTTGCAGTGAACTGAGATCATGCCATTGCATTCCAGCCTGGGCCACAGAGCAAGACTTTGTCTCAAAAAAAAAAAAAAAAAAACCATCAAAAAAAAAAAAAGATGGGGAATCACAAGGTAGAAGGACTAAGATTATACTGTATTTTGTAGTAAGATGTCATATATTTTAAGTGCTCAATGAATTTGTGAAAAAGGAAGGTAACTTTTATCTTTCATTGTCCAGTAGAGACTTGCTGCAAAATGAAAGTTCAGCAAATAGTGACTTGTTTTAGTACCCTTGTAAGTCTAGTGTTGGAAATATTTCTTGGTTTTAAACAACCACTGTGCTGATTTTAGAAAGGGTGTGCTCATTTATTAGGAAACTAAGAAAAATAACAGACCTGGAACAAAGGAAGTCATTCTGAGGCATTATGGTCTAAGAACTGTGTCCTCCAAAGGAAATGATAGTATGACTGAGAGTTCACCTGAGGCACAGAAAGCCAAGTACATCAATAGATTACAAGTAAAATGCCCCAGAAATTCAAAAATACACTATTGTGATTAGTGCAAAGAAAAATCTGTTCTTTCAAAAACTGGCAGCTCAGCTGAAAAGCAAAACAAAACAAAACAAAACAAAAACCAAAAAAACACTAGAATCTCGCCAGTGCTCATATCCAAATTTTCTGTTAAAACTTTGTCCACTCAAAATATATGAAATGGCCAATCACAGTGGCTCATACCTGTAATTCCAGTGCTTTGGGAAGCCAAGGCAGGAGGATTGCTTGAGGCCAGGAGTTAGAGACCAGCCTGGGCAACATAGCAAGACCCGCATCTCTACAAAAAAATACTAAAAATTAGCATGACATGGTGGTGTATGCATGCTGTCCTACCTACCTGGGAGGCTGAGGCAGGAGGATCACTTCACCCAGGGCTATGATCACACCACTGCACTCCAGTCTGGACAACAGAGTGAGACCTTGTCTCATATATGTGTGTGTGTGTGTGTGTGTGTGTGTAATACACATATATAATACAATTTTGTATATATAATTGAAAGGAGGGAGGAAGTTAATCAAACTACAGCTGCAACAAAGCCCAACTGCTCTCAACTGTACATCAGATTGATTCAGTGTCAAACTCTGAACCTAACAATAGGAGCATGCTGTTTTCTGGTGTTAACTATTACTTCTGTTCATACTTACCTTTTATAAAAAATACACAGCACACAGTAAAAAATATATATTATATCATATATATATATCATATATATATATATATGAGACACGCATAGGAGGAAAAAAGTTTTATCCAGAGAGGAATCAGTCAATAGAAGCAAATTGAAATTGTCATATGTTTGCATTATCAGAGGGTGGTCATGACAATAAAAGTGCCTAAAGATCTAGTAAAACAAAGTGGAAAACATACATGAAGAGATACAGAATTTCAGCAGAAATATGGAAACAACAACAAAACACAGAAATCTAGAAATGAATATGATCTAAGAGTACACAGAGGAAAAGATCAATAAAGACAAAGCAATTGAGAGTATACAAATGGAAAAGCAAAGAAAAAATTATAGAATGAGTATAATTTTAGTAATTGTAATTATAGAATGAGTAAAATTATAGAATGTGTGTAATTTGAAGGAAAGTGAAATGGCCTACCATCCTTGTAATTGAGTCTCAGAAGGGGAAGATTGAAAGAATGATACAGAACAAATATTTGAAGAGATATTTACTAAGAACTTTTTCAAAGTTGATGGAAATTAACACACAAAATCAAGTTGAAACGGAGTTTTTTTGAAATAAGATTGATAAACACCTGGTAAGACATATATACTGGGGTGAATAATATCCCTCCAAAATTCATGTTCACTTGAAATTTCAGATGTGACCTTATTTCAAAATAGGGTCTTTGCAGATGTAATTAGTTATGATAAAATCGTACTAGGTTAGGGTATCCCGAAATTCAATGACTAGTTTCCTTATAAGAAGGCATTGGCAGAGATACAAAGTCCATGTGAAAATAAAGACAGACATTGGAGTGATGCCAACTTTAAGCCAAAGATTGCCTGCAACCAGAAGTAAGGAAGAGACAAAGAAGATCCCTTCTCTAGAGTGTTGAGAGGAAGCCTTGATTTCAGACTTCTAGTCTACACAACTGTGAGAGAATAAATTTCTCTCGTTTCACGCTATCTAGTTGATGTTATAGCAGCCTAGGAAACAAACTGATCAAGTTAAAAAGAGGAAGCACAAATTACTAATGTTGAGAATAGAAAGGACGTTATAGCCTGTTAACATTAAAGATAATAAGTGCATGTTATGAACAACTTTATGCCAATAATCGAATAACTTAGATGGACAAATGCCTTTTGAAACACAACTTGTCAAAAATGATGCAGATTACAGTACATGAAAAAAGCTCCATATTTATTAAAGTGAATTGGTAATCATAAATGTTACCAAAAAGAAAACACTAACTCCTGGTTGCTCCAATGGAAAATTACATCAAATGTGTAGGTTAGAGATAATATTAAACTCTACAGAGCTTCTTTCAAAAATTAGAAAACAAAACAATTTTGAATTTGTTTTATGAGGCCTGTATAACCCCTGTATTAATCCATTCTCACATTGCTATAAAGAAATAACTGAGACTGGGTAATTTATAAAGAAAAGAGGTTTAATTGGCTTCTGATGCTGCAAGCTGTACAGGAAGCTTAGTGGCTTCTGCTTCTGGGGACACTTCAGGAAACTTGCAATCCTGGTGGAAGGCGGAGGGGAAACAGGTACATGTTACATGGCTGGAGCAGGAGGAAGAGAGAGGGGATTTGCTGCACACTTTTAAACAACCAGATCTCATGAGAACTCTGTCACAAGAACAGCACCAAAGGAATGGTGCTAAACCATTCGTGAAGGATCCACCTCCGTGAACCAGTCACCTCCCACCAGGACACAGCCTCCAACACTGGGAATTACAATTGAACATGAGATTTGGATGGGGACACAAATCCAAACCATATCAATCCCATTACAAAACTTGACAAAATAGTACAATAAAAGAAAATTAAAAATCAGTATTTTATGTGAATATGAATGCAAAAAATAAGATAAAAAGAAATAGAATTTAACAATGTAAAAGGTTGTATATATGTGAGGCTTAACCCAGCAATATAATTCACCACATAGTAAAATGAGAAAGACCGTGTGATTATTATCAACAGATATAAAAAAGTAATTTGACAATTGATAATATGCATTTCTATATTGACGAATAATTGGAAAATGAAACATTTACAACAGCATAAGACAGCCATATACTTAGGAACAATTCAGTGACACACATGTAAGACCTGTAAGACCATTACACTGCAAGTTACAAAACATTGATGAGAAGAAACTTAAAATACCTAAGTAAATGGAACGATATGTCACTAAATATGTTGGAGGACTAAATGTTGTTAGGATTTTCAATTTCTGCTTGGTGGTTTATGAATTCAGTGTTAACCCCAAGCAAAATTCCAACAGTATGTTTTAAATAAATTGACAAGTTGTTTCTAAAATCTGGAAATTCAGAGCATTTAGAATAGCCAAAGGAATCTTCAAACAGGTAGAGGACTTACTGTACCTGGTTTCAAGATGTATTATAATGTTGCAGCAAAAGAGATAATATAGTATTAACATAGACAAATAGACCAATAGCACAATAGAGTCCTGAAATAGACAAATGCACAGTCAATTGATCATCTTTTTAAAAAATCATGACTTGAAATTGGAATTTGCATACATTTCTGGTTAGTAAAGTCATAGAGTCACTCTGAAAAAATTGTTTGACAGGGTTTTTTTTTTTTTTTTTAAACAAAACTATAAATCTAGAATTACCAAATTAACTGCAATTCCATAGGATATGTTTTTACCTAAGAGAAATGAAAACAGAAATTCACACAAAGACATGTACCTGAAATTTCATAGCCTTATTCATATTAACCCCAACCTGGACATAAGTGTTCCAGAAAAGAGTAATGGATGTATACATTGTGCTGTATTCATGGTATCAAATGCTAATCAATACAAGGAAAGAAATAACCTGCAAAAACATGAATGTGAGGTGGAGAAAGATGGCCGAATAGAACCCTCTAGCAATTGGTCACCCTGCAGGAATGTCAAACTGAACAACTATCCGAGCAAGAAAGCACCTTCATAAGATCGAGAAGTTAAAGTGAGTGGTCACCAGTACCTCACCAGCAATAATTGTGATGGATCACAGTTTTAGCATAATAACGAGGAAAAATGCATTGAAGAAGGTAGGAAGGATGGTCTCACATTGCCCGTAACACTGCTTCCCCAGACTCAGGCAGCATAGCAGGAAGAGAGAATCTCTGCTTGGGGGAGAGTGACGTGAATGGAACTTTGCGTAATAACTCAGTGCTGCCATGTAATAATGAAACGGCACCAGGCAAAATTCTAC